GATAATTACCGGCATTTCTCATTAGTGTGACCCCCAGCATAAGATTGTATAGAAATGATAAAATAAACAAGTTTTATAAAATAATAAATTTTTCGTATCGTATTAAGTTACATAACACATATAGGTATACTATGTTTAGTTTAGTTTTCTTTATTTTCCTTGTTTTCTTCCCCCTTGGGTGTGGGGGTTTCAAAATCAAAAAAGGGTTTAGGATCTCAGTCAGATCACTGAGACTCAGACGCCACTGAGATCCTAAACCCCCCTTCGGAGTCCACCATCAACTAGGTGATATCATCACAGTCATCTAGATCTTCATGAACCTTTTTGAAAATGAGTTTTAACACGATGGTTCTACGTAGCATCACTGAGAACCTTTACCCACCTTCTGAGTCAATCATGAGTAAGGTGACATCATCATAGTAATAATAGGTATATAATATATAATAGTAATATATAAATAAAAATCTAAACAGCACAGAAATAATGTAAGTAGCTACTAAGAAAGTAAGTACTTACCCGCAATTAAAACGAACTGAAGCCAGCGGATTATGGTGGGCCCGGAAAACTCCGTGGCCGTGCCATCAGTCAAAAATTTCAACTTAAGATTTCACACTCACGATCAGTTTTTGGATGTACATCAGTTCGACTGAACTGACATTTCGCCCAAAAAATCCGTGGGTTGTCGTCAGTTCAAAATTTCAACTTAAAATTCCACACTCACGGTCAGTTTTTGGATGTACGTCAGTTCAACTGATCATTTTAAGTTTAACTGACCGCGTGAGGGAACCATTTTATTGTCTATATGTTGCTAATATAAACTAGTCTCGTAAGAAGTGCCGTTGTGCTTACGTGTTCTATTTTAAACCTAATTTGTAACATCTAAGGGTTAACTTAAAAAAAACATATAACTAATCTCGTGGGTAATGTGCTTGTCACATTTCGAGTATCACTACGATGCTTATGAAATATTATGTACTCGATCTAGACACGCGGTAGCGTGTCAAGCCAAGTTCAAGCAGAACGGCGAGCAGCACCGTTACACGAACCATTTGAAGCCACTTTTGACCCCTCCTAACTCAAAACCTATTTCACATAAACATGTCAAATTTGGCTCATATATTGAGACTTGCGAGATACATAATATGTGCTTCAAATTTCGTAAACACACCTCAAACGGTTATTTAGAAATTAACGTCCAAAAATCGTCATTTTTATCACTGACTGACCAAAACTCTAACCCAGTTCCACATGACCTAGAAAGTTAAAATTTGGCATGCAGGTAGGTAATTAGGTAAATACAAAGGAATAAATCAGAAACTGGTAAATTTTTCTCATTTTATTATAATTTTTCACTTAATGTTATTAGGAACACTAAACTTAATTAATTATTATATTATACTTAAAACTGTAATAATGTATGTAGATATATATAATCAGTAATCAGCAATCAAGACTTATGACAGCCGGTCTTAAATATATAATGAGTTGAACACCACCCTTAATTTTTTTAATCCAAATATTTCCGTTTTACTACTTATAACTAAACTAAGAGTATAGTCGACTTTCGTATTTATTACGTCATTAACTGGGACTTAGTATTAATTATTGTTCCAATATTTAGCGCACATCAATAGTGTAAGATCATTCCCTACTTATAAATAATGAAATAATAGGAATTTCGAGGCGACGCCGGAGCAGCGGGGTGGGAGCGTGGAGCGGTGCGATAAAACCTTGACGCGAACATGTCCGAGCGACCTCCCCTCCAATCACCGTCCCATCAGTCTCCTCAAGGGCATGGGCAAACTTTTCGAACGAGTCATTCTCGTGCGCGTGAGGCGCCATTTGTTTCCCACAGACGGCGACCCTCTTGTCATCCCACAACAATTCGGGTTTCGAGCCAAACACTCGTGCTTCACCGCATAGTGGAATATATCCTCAGCGGTTTTTATCCTCGTCGGCAAAAAACCATCGCGGTCGTTTTCGACATTGCCAAGGCATTCGGCAGAGTTTGGCACGAGAGCCTTATCTATAAATTGTACGACTTAGGCCTCCCTGACCGTCTCGTTCGCCTTGCAGCCTCCTATCTGAAGGATCGTACCTTTCGATTTAGACACGCAGGCACGCTATCCTCTACTCGTCAAATCAAAGCCGGTATCCCTCAAGGCTCTTTGCTTGCCCCCCTCCTATATATACTATTCACCAACGACATCCCTATCCCGTCGAATGGAGTTAAACTAGCCCTCTTCGCAGATGACATAGCCCTTTACTCTAAAGGCAACTCACTACCACAGATTCGGAACAAGATCCAAAAGTCAGTAAGCGACTTAGGAGCTTGGTTCCAAAAATGGCGTATCGACATAAACCCGGAGAAGAGCTCCGCCGTTTGCTTCGGATATAAACGACGCCGTCTCACCACCACTCCGCCAATCAGGATGTTAGGAACCCCTGTCCCGTGGCAAACTACAGCCAAATATTTAGGCGTCACCCTTGATGCAAGGCTCACTTTCGAATCCCATATCAAGGTTACTCGCACCGCACGATTTTACATGGATAGGCTTAACAGCATGTTGGGCAGACACAGTAAAATGTCCCTCCGCAACAAGCGAACCCTATATAAGGTCTGCATACGACCTATCATGACCTACGCGGCCCCCATTTTCGCACATGCTAAGCCCAAAGCTATAAATGAACTTCAAATAGTTCAAAATCTATTCTGTCGTAGGGCCACTAACTCGCCCTATTATGTCCGTAATGCCGACCTACACCGAGACTTAGAGCTCCCAATAATCCAGCAGTTCCTTAAATCACTCTCTGAGAGATTTTTCAAAGCCTCAGAGTCCCACCCAAATCATCTCATTCGTGAGACAGCTGCCTATGCAGCCCCTATCCACACTCGCTATAGTGTGCGCTGACCGAGAAACTCTCTCTCGGACCCCCCAAGAAGCTTTCGGCTGACCTGAACTGCCTCCTGGCGGCTCAGGCCGAGCTGACATAACACATCCCTTAATCTGCCTTAGTTAGGCACACTTCCAAGCGGCTTTTCGCCGCTTGCGCCCTCCTTTCTGCCAAGGAGGGTCGCGTTCGTATACGGCTTAGAGATCTCTAGTTAGACCGTTAAGCCAATCCCTAAAAAGCGGTGTATAGTGGGTAAAAGTCTCCACATAACCACGCAGCTGGCTGCGTGGTATGCTATGAGCATTCACCGCCTCCCTCCCCCGCTTTCCGGAGGGTTGCTCATATTTGCTTCGGGCGCAAAAAAAATGTCCGAGCGAGTGGCAGTGCGCTCATCTCATAATCTCACAAGCGCGAGTGCCGACTTGCTGTCCGGTTGTCATTCGATATTTGACCTATGAGATTGCGATTTATGCTACGAAATTCATAGGTTTTCTTAAAAAATACTCATATATTTGTGGTTATATTATTATTACAATTCTTTTAGTTAGTACGTACCCGTGTCTAGATGTAATAGGCAATATTTTAAATCAAAAATTAGTAATAATTTTAGTATATTATAAGTAGGTATGTATATTTAACTCTGAATGAGTTTGAGAATGAGAACTTATTGGTATGGTAACAAATTGTTTTTCTTGATAATTCAATAGATAACAGGCATTTTGTTACGTAATAATCTTAAATAATTATCTTTTTATTACGTATATTGTACATAGAGTCCTACAATAGAATTACGGGTAGGTGACACACTTACCTTACACCGAATTATTTCAATGCATCCCGATGGAAGCTGTCAATTCCATTCGATTGCCAAGTTTCAGATATTAAGTAATATATATGTTCACAGGGAACAATTCCCTATTTGCTTAGCCTATGTTATTACTATCCACAAATCACAAGGCCTTAGCCTTGACAATGTTCTACTTGGCTCTATATTTAGTAGAGGGCAGGCTTACGTTGGACTCTTCAGAATTAAAACCTTAGAGTACATCTTATCAATTTAGATCCAAGTCAAATGAAGTCATAAGAGAGCTCTATTATAGAGTACAACCGTCTGCGCACGTTATACCGCCCCGACTTGGTCAATTTAAGTATAAACAGAAAATGAGTGAAAAAAATTCCGGATACTGAATGCGCAATTCACTCGAACATTTCAAAGGTACAAAACAATATAGAAAAATAACACAAAAAAGACAATTATACCCCGTAAACGTAGAAAATACAGTGGTTTAACAAAAACCATTTGGTATTAATTTTGTTATAAATTAGTACCTACTAATAATTTATGTACAAAAAGTAATGATATCCCATCAAAAACATAAATGTGAAATGAGAGCCAAGTTCAATATTATGATATACGCCTTGGCTGTTGACTTCAAAGACAAAAGAAGTGAGATCTAAATGGGTGCCAAGTTCAATGGCCAGTCCCGAAATTTATTTATAACATAAAATATCATTTCTTCTTATAACTTAGGATAATATATTGTAGCCTAAGGTCTGACTTGGCTGACTTGGCACCCATTTAGATCTCACTTCTTTTGTCTTTGAAGTCAACAACCAAGGCATATATCATAATATTGAACTGATGTTCAACATTATGATATATTATACAAAAAGATTAAAAATATTAATTAAAAAATATTATTAAAGATATGGTTACGAGCTTGAGGTTCGTGACAATAAAAACTGCCGATTGAATTACCAAAATTTACACTTTTATTATCCAAAACTAATTAAACCTAAAAAACACTAATAATTAATCACACTGATTCACTTTATTTCGCTCCGAAGCTTCGCTTGTCTCGCCAAATTCAATACTTCCCCGATCGCGGGTTGCAGCGGCTTTAAATACACATTTTCTACAGAAACATCCAGAATATTCCTGTAAATATGGGCGCCGAACGACCAAGCGCCAGAAAGTTCGAGTGTGGGGGCTTCTAGAAAGCTTAGTTCTTCAATTCGATACTAGATGGCGCTGTCGGTTGAAAGATTAGTCATGTCATTTTCTGGAAAGCTCTGCTCGCTCTGTTATCCGATACTAGATGGCGCTAGTGCCGGATACATGTGTCAACTTGGGCGCGCAACACTGTCCCTCCTAAGACATGCTCGTCCCGAGCATTATCGGCACCATAATAACGCCTCAGGCGATCCACATGCACGATCTTAGGAGTCCCTCTTGCGCCTTTCTGTATCCGGTAGGTTACATCGTTGATCCTGGTCACAATCCGGTACGGGCCGTCCCATTTAGCTTGAAGCTTAAGAGATTTCCCTTTGCTGCGGACTGGATTGTGCAACCACACTAGTGAACCTTCGTCCAATCCTTTGTTGTTCATTTTGCGGTCATACCGGGTTTTCATCTTTTCGGACATTTGCTGGCCCGATTGTCTGACGTGCTTATAAATGTCATTCATTTTGTTCCGCAAGTCATTTGCATAATCGGTTATACTGCGTGGGGCATCAGGTGGTATCCCGGTGATCAAGTCTGCGGGCAGCCGTAATTCTCTTCCAAAGTTTGCAAAAGCTGGTGTCACTGATGTACTTTCGTGAACAGCGCTTCGATATGACAACAAAAACGGTTGTATGTGCTTGTCCCAATCTCGTTGCCGATTGTCTACAACTTTTGCTAGGTACCTCTCCAATGTCTGATTAAATCGTTCTACCATTCCATCAGATTGCGGGTGATAAGAAGTCGTTCTTGTTTTATGAGTACCCATAACTTGGCAAGTTTCCTGGAATATTTGAGACTCAAAATTCCTTCCTTGACCGCTTTGAATCTCTAAAGGTACTCCAAAACGACATAATACTTCATGAACTAGTTTATCTGCAACTGTTGAAGCTTCTTGATTTGGAATGGCGAAGACTTCTGGCCACTTAGTGAAGTAATCCATCACAACCATGAAATACTTGTTACCGCTTTCACTCTCCGGATACGGCCCCGCCACGTCAATGGCTATTCTCTCCCATGGTGCACCAACATTGTATAACTTCAATGCACCTCTACTATGAGTCTGAGGTCCCTTTACAGCCGCACGACTTGTATATTTGCGACACCAGTCCTCGACATCGTTTCGACAGTGGACCCAGTAAAACCGTTCTCGGATCTTCAGTAGAGTTCGTTTAACTCCCAGATAGCCTCCTGAATAATCACTATGGTACAGCTGTAGAACATCCGGTACTTTAGCTTTAGGGACAACCATTTGCAAATGACAGCTGTCTCCCCGAACATTTTCCCATTTACGGCACAGAACTGCATCCTGAAGCAGCAAGCTGTCCCACTGGGCCCAATAGCTTTTAGTGGTCGAACTCATCGCTGAGACGTCGCTCCATTTGGGCTTGGGAGCACTGACCTTCATCCATTGCAGAATCGGCTTGATGTCCGGATCTTCCTGCTGTGCACGTTGTAAACTGTCCTTCCACTCGTTGCGGAGGTGGTCTGTCCCAAGCATCCTCACGGATACCACTTCTTTACTCTCTTGCCTAGTACAATGTTTGCAATCTTCAGAACAAGGTCTTCTTGACAATGCTTCTGCGTTGCCATGAGATTTCCCGCTGCGATGCTCGATCTCAAAGTCGTATTCCTGCAGTAGTTCAATCCACCTCGCAACTTGTCCTTCTGGATTTTTAAACTGCAATAGCCATTTTAGTGCAGCATGGTCAGTTCGTAAGTGAAATTTTCTCCCCAGAAGATATTTGTTAAAATGCTGCAACGACTTTACCACAGCTAGCAATTTGCGTTTTGTGACACAATAGTTCCTTTCCGGTTTTAACAACGACTTGCTGTAGTACGCTATCACGACCTCTTGATCACCATTCCGTTGAGACAACACACCGCAAAGTCCTATATCACTTGCGTCTGTGTTAACTATAAATTCTTTGCTTGCATCAGTGTATCCCAAAATAGGTGTTTTGCACAGACGGTCCTTGAGGATCTCAATGCGATATTGCAACTTTCATCCCAGCAGAAATGTCGCTTCTCCTCGGTTAGCTTATGCAGCGGTTTGGCTATATCTGCAAAGTTCTTCACAAATCGCCGGTAATAGGAGCACAAACTCAAAAATGCTCTAACCTGTGTCTTCTCTTTTAGAACCGGCCAATCCTTGACAGCTGCGATTTTCTCCGGATCCGTGCGGATACCTTCTTCCGACACTACACACCCCAAAAAATTGACTTGTCGTTCGAATAGTGAACATTTCTTCGGACTCAACTTGAGGTTGGCACTCTGAATCTTCATGAGCACGCGTTCCAGGTTTTGAAGGTGTTCCTCAAACGTACGGCCCACGATGATGATGTCATCCAAGTAGACCAGACAGGCATCGCCAATTAGCCCGGTAAGCACAAGTTCCAACAGCCTTTCAAACGTTGCTGGAGCATTGCACAACCCGAACGGCATTACTTTAAATTGCCACTGACACTTTCCCGTCGAGAACGCAGTTTTCTCCTTGTCCTTAGGGTCAATTTCAACTTGCCAGTAGCCACTTTTTAGATCCAGCGTGCTAAACTACTTTACTCCTGTAAGCATGTCCAGCGTGTCATCAATTCTTGGCAAGGGATAGCTGTCCTTTTTCGTAACATCATTCAGACGACGGTTGTCAACACAAAACCGCATGCTGCCATCCTTCTTCTTTACCAGCACCACGGGTGAACACCATGGACTAGAGGAAGGTTCAATAACACCATCCTTCACCATTCCTTCAATCATGGTTTCTACTTCCTTTTCACGTGCTACCGGCAATCTTCTTGGCCGCTGACGGATAGGCAATACTTCTCCGTGTTTATTTTGTGTTGAACTAAGCCAGTCTTTTCTATGTCAGCATGGTTTGATGAGAATACATCGGCGCACTTGAGTAACAACTTCTTTGCCTTGACCATTTCGTTCGGAGAGAGAACGCTGCGACAGTCTTCCAAAAGTGGGGTCACTCTCGTTTGTGCATCCTTGCTAGGGGTCTCACTCGATAGATATTGGCACCGACGTAACCAATCCACTTCCTCAGAAGTACTAACCAGCGTGCCTTTTTCTATAATCTGTTCCCGGTCACAAAGGTTCAGCACACGTACTCCTGAGATGTCAGTGGTTCTGACCAAGGTTCGAGCTACTTTCCATGGAAGGTCATTGTTTGCTCTTTCCACAAGTACACAATGGTGAGCTTGCCCAGCGTTTCGAGGAAGACTAACCGGCACAATCGTTTCCGATCTCGGCGGAAGAACAATCTTCTTAATGCTGTACACGTTCCCTGGTAACGCACCTTCCATAAAAAGTTCCTCCTGTCCACATTTCAAAACACCTTGCTTAACATCGATCTCACAACAATTATTCCTCATAAAGTCTAGGCCCAAGATGCAGTCGTCCAATATATCAGCCACGATGACATTATGCAGGTAGATCACGTTGCCTAGCTTCAACTCCATCTCCTTCTCTCCACGGACGGGTATACGCTGACCGGTGGCTGTTACCAAATTAATGCGTTCTCGGTTGTATGCGGAGTCCCCAAGGAACTGACTTATAAGTTGGGAACTAACAACCGTACGAGAGGCTCCAGTATCTATGGTCAGTTTACACGGTATTCCGTTGACCTCGCCCTTGATGATTAGACTGTTCACATCATGAGTTGGTGAGATTGAGACCATTGGGGCTCTTTTTACATCAGCCAGCACCTGGTGTTGCTGTTGGCCGCACTACCCTCCTGAGATCGTTCACCTTCCCTTTCTAGGGTTCGCTTAGGGCAGCTGGATCGAAGATGGCCCCTTTCCCCACAGCCATAGCACCTAGGGCTGTATCCTTTATTGCGGTCGCGAACTGTAGCTGCTGCAATCTCCCTGACGCGATGGGAACGATGATCCTGCCGCACGGCTTCCACCTCCAGTGCATCGGCCAAAGCGTCCTTAAGCGTCTCGTGGTGCCCGAGCCTCACAGCAGCTCTGACTTCCAGGTCGCGGATGCCGTCGATGAATATCTGCACCAGGTTCCCTTCAATGAGCGCAGGTACAGACCGGTATACTTTTCGCACCAGCTTCTCCACCTCTAGAGCCCACTGCTGCAGGTTTTTGTTGATGCGCTGCACGCGATCTTTAAGCTGCGCACGAAAGACGTGTTCCAGGTGAGCGTCGCCATATCTCGCCTCCAATGCCTCAAGAAGTTGCTCGTAAGTCACTTCCTCACCGAGAGCTTCCACAACTGTTAAGGCCTGGTCGCGCAGGCCTAGTGTGAGAGCAGTCATGGTCTGACTTTTATTCCAGCCGTTCGCCTTCATAACAGCCTCGAACTGGATTTTGTAGGCTGACCAGGAAGAGGTCCCGTCGAACGGTGGCACCTTGAACCCACGTAGCGAAGGTGTTGTAGCTACTATGGGAGCTGTAATTCCATCCCCCAGTTTGAGGTCGTCCAGCGTTTTCTTCACGTCAGCCATCACGTTGTCAACCCGATTGTTCACTTGGTCGATTCGGGTTTCAGCTTTCTCCATTCGGGTTTCAGCTTTCGCGATTTGGGTTTCAGCTTCCGACAGGCAGTTTTCATGCTGAGCAACCCTATCCTTCACCTCCTTTATCTCCTTCCCGAAGGTAGCGTGAAGGTCCTTCATAAGGAGCATCTGCTCGTCCAACCGACTGGCCTGTTCTTATTGTCCGCCCCGCAGCTGCTCTTCCAACTGACGGACCTGTTCCTCCTGTCGGCGAGCCTGTTCCTCCTGTCGGCGAGCCTGTTCCTCCTGCTGCTATTTCAACCAACGGGCCTGTTCCTCCTGTCCACCTCGCAGCTGCTCTTCGAATCGGCGTGCCTGTTCCGCCTGCTGGCGGGCCTGTTCCTCCTGTCGGCGGGCCTGTTCCTGCAGGATCATCATGAGAGCACCTAAGTCAAGTGCTGCAGGTGTAGGAGCTGCTGACGGGCCAGCCTCCGTGGCTGGCAGTTGGCCCCCCGACGTCTGCGGCGTTGCACCACCAAATCTTCTCTAGTCCGTCTCCTGCTGGCTTTGACTTCAGGTACGAACACCCTCCGTTTCCTCCTTAGGTAAAATCGGCATGTTTTATCCCACTTCTGACACCAATTGTTACGAGCTTGAGGTTCGTGACAATATTAACTGCCGATTGAATTACCAAAATTTACACTTTTATTACCCAAAACCAATTAAACCTAAAAAACACTAATAATTAATCACACTAATTCACTTTATTTCGCTCCGAAGCTTCGCTTGTCTCGCCAAATTCAATACTTCCCCGATCGCGGGTTGCAGCGGCTTTAAATACACATTTTCTACCGATACATCAAGAATATTCCTGTAAATACGGGCGCCGAACGACCAGGCGCAGAAAGTTCGAGTGTGGGGGCTTCTAGAAAGCTTAGTTCTTCAATTCGATACTAGATGGCGCTGTCGGTTGAAAGATTAGTCATGTCATTTTCTGGAACGCTGTCCTCGCTCTGTTACCCGACACTAGATGGCGCTGGTGCCAGACGTCCACTTAGGCGCGCAACAATATTGTGATATATTATATAAAAAGATTAAATTATACAAAAAGATGGAGTTACATTCCATAAAAATATGGAATGTAACTACATCTTTTTGTATAATTTGAAATATAAGACTTCTTTTTGCACACGTTAGCTGCACAAATGGGCATTTTTTTAAGAGCAACTTCAATTACGGAAGCGATTCTTGTAATGACGAAATCGATTCCGTAAACAGTTTTTATAAACGCACAAGAGTTTTAAAACTAATAATTGCGCACAGGGGAATAATCATGCGAGGCGAGTCCATTGGGTTGAATGGTCTAAGGATAAACCTACTGAAATAAGTATCTAACGACCTATCTACTTACAGTATTAGTGATTACAAACATTTCGGTACATAGCATACGACGCGCGGGGAAGTGGGGGCGAAATTAGAATTTGACCTGAGGTAAAATAGGCCCTTGTACATCGCTGATGTAACTCAAGCACTAGATATCTACTGCATACGAGTAGGCTATACGATGAACGAGAAGCGAGTAAATCTATAAACTAGATAAGAGTTAGCGACCAGCGATAAGCGAGTGTGCAGTTTCGATAGTTTTGTCGCTGGGTTATAAGCGAGTGCAATCAGATCCGCACTGTAGAGTAAAATGACCGCTGGTTGATCTCTGTACCGCCAAGCGAGCGTCGCTAAACGAGTTTTATCTTTGATAGTAGTCACGAGAGTAGAATAAATGCAGTAGAAATACGATCGCTAAGTAATACGTTAGGCCTGAATCTGACAGGGTGAGAAATTGTGTGATAAAAGAAGAGCGTAGCTTGCAAGATGATGCTGTGATCAGAATTAAGAAAGTCATGTAGAAAGAATGGATAAGGAATTGTCACTCATAAAGCAAATTTATGTTGCAGAAGTGAACGAAAAAGTCGTAAAGGAACGTCCTAGGCGAAAGTTAATCGACCAAATTGACTATATAATAAAAATGGGCGAAATTATGAGTATACTAAACCGACGAGCATGTATGCGTAGATATATGGATATGGAGGAGGCGAGAGAGATATGTCAGAATCGTGCTAAATGGAAGTCTGTAGTCTCTGCCTACCCCTCTGGGTGACAGGCGTGAGTGTTTATGTATTATGTATGTATTATATGTATCTGTTTTATTGACACGGCATCTATTCCTATTATTCGTTTCTTGAGCTAGAAAGTAGTCGATAGTTAATCGATTCTTCGACGGCGGTAGGACAAGTGCCTAAGGTAACGTTTGCAGCCTTTATACATCCCGTTTATGGAGTGTAGAAGTAAGGAGTACCAATTCCCATAGTAGAATAGTTGAAAAAGTGTCCATCTAAAAGCAGTAAATAACAGTTCAAAAACTCTCCACAACAGCGCTGGAGTAGCTATAGGGATGAAATGAATTAAGTTTGCTGCTAAACTGCTCAGTAGCTCTTAAGAGGATAGAGTAAATCAGCTCAAATTCTAATTTCGCCCCCACTTCCCCGCGCGTCGTATGCTATGTACCGATATGTTTGTAATCACTAATACTGTAAGTAGAAAGGTCGTTAGACACTTATTTCATTAGGTTTATCATATTAATGCCTGTTTCTTAACGCCAAGCCAGCCGCTTCTTATTTTTATCACGGTTATTTCCCATTTTAATTTTACGTCGTACTGTTGCGTAATGTATATTCTGATCGTAAGCGACACAACTTCTCCCTTCAAAAGCCTAAGCGATACTAACGGGGCGACTGGAATCAAGCTCAAGACGCCGATAGTTTAGGTAATTTCTTTTTACAGTGAAAATAATGGTATTTTTAAAAAAGTAAATAACATAAGCACTGCTTTATAGTTAATTCAGTTAGTATGCAAAGTTTCATGATCTTATTTAAAGTATTTTATGAATAACAGCGGTTTATTGTTTATTTTGGAGGTAACTTTGGATTTTTTTTCTATC